GACGGACGGATGGACAGATGGACTTGCTGGGTGTGGTGGTGCACGACTGTAGTCCCAACTACTTGGGAGGCTGACACAAGAGGATCACTTGAGCCTGAGAGTTTGAGGTTGCCGTGAGCTAAGAAAATGCCATTGCACTCTACCAAGTGAGACTCTGTCTCAAAAAATAAAATAAAATAAAATGGGTTTGGCGCCTGTAGCACAGTGGTTACAGAGCCAGCCACATACACGGAGGCTGGCAGGTTCAAACCCAGCCCAGGCCAGCTAAAACAACAAGGACAACTGCAACAAAAAATAGCCAGGCATTGTGGTGGGTGCCTGTAGTCTCAGCTACTTGGGAGGCTGAGGCAAGAGAATCACTTAAGCTCGTAAGTTGGAAGCTGCTGTGAGCTGTGATGCCACATCACTCTACCAAGGGTGACAAAGTGAGACTCTGTCTCAAATAAATAAATAAAGATAAAAGGAGATCCTTATAAAAAGATTCATCCCTGAGTTATAGGAGAGAGTAAATGAAAATATTAAAAATGCATTGTGAAAAGATTGATCTGTCAGATACAAAGTAGTATTAGCACTTGATTGTTTCTGGTTGGCTCCTGGAGAGCTGAGGGGTACTTTTGTTTTTTTTTATCTATTTCAGTTTCCCAGTCAACATCAATTTGGTGGTCACTTCCAGGGAACACTATTCATGTTACATTTCACTGGAAGAACTGCCATTCATAGAAAATGCAATGTGAATGGTGCCTCCTGGAATTGTGCCTCGCTTAGCTAGGTATAGAACTAAGGGCTAAGGAAATGATTATGAAAATGAATGGAATCTGAAATTACTTCTTGGTCATTCCACAACCCAGAATGAAAAGAAGAAGTTGACTAGGGGGTGAAGAGAGTGGTGGGGAGGGGAGGAAGGAAAAGTTATCTTTAGCTACAAGCCTTCAATGCTTCACTGAGATTAGTGGGGTGCTGGTAGTAGCGCAGGAGAGGTGGGGAGAGGTAATACTAAAGCAAGTGTCCTATTCCCAAGGGTCTTCCTTAATTTTTTCCTTGGAGGATTACATCTTTCCTATCAGTGTAGAACCATACTCATAAGGTAACTTGACAGCCCGGGATTTGGTACCCAGCGAGTGCTAATGATGAATTAATTATGTTGTTCATTCTTCTTTTTAAAAAATCGCTTTTAGCGCCTAACAGAAGCCAGTTTCTATGTTAGTGCTGGAGATAAGAGTGGTGAACAAGACAACAGAGGTCCCCTATCCCGCACAGACCATTGTATATCATCCTCCAGTTGTTAGCAAGCACCCTCAGAAGGTAGTGTTTAAACTGAGACTAGAAGAACAAGCAGGAGAGAACAATAGATATAGACCAGGCAAAGTCAGGAAACTTAAGGGACATGGCCCTCTGAAGTGGGTCTTGAGCAAGGGAGTGAGGGAGATCAGTGGGCAGAGGCCAGATCATCTAGAGCTTGTAGAGTGTGGATTTTATCTTGAGGGTAATTAGGAACCAGTAAAAAAAAAATTTTTTTTTGAGACAGAGCCTCAAGCTATTCCCCTGGGTAGAGTGCTGTGGCATCACAGCTCACAGCAACCTCCAACTCCTGGGCTCAAGAGAGTCTCCTGCCTCTGCCTCCCAAGGAACTGGGACCACAACAGCGCCCGCCACAATGCCTGGCTATTTTTTGGTTGCAGCCATCGTTGTTTGGCGGGCCCGGGCTGGATACCAGTAAAGAATTTTAAGAAAGAAAGTGACATGGTCAAATTTGAATTTTTGAAAATGGAGCACGTGGCTCCCTGCCTGTGGCTCAAGCGCCTAAGGCGCCAGCCACGTACACCTGAGCTGGTGGGTTCGAATCCAGCCCGAGCCCGCCAAACAATGACGGCTGCAACCAAAAAATGGCCAGACGTTGTGTGGCAGGTGCCTGTGGTCCCAGCTACTTGGGAGGCTGAGGCAGGAGATTTGCTTGAGCCCAGGAGTTGAGGTTGCTATGAGCTGTGATGCCATAGCACTCTACCCAGGGCGACCGCTTGAGGCTCTGTCTCAAAAGAAAAAAAGAAAAGAAAAGAAAATGGAGCACGTATTGGAGGAAGCAAAAGTTGAGGCAGGGAGCCCTGTTAAGAGGCTACTGCGTTATCCTGGGTCAGATGGTGATGTCTTTAACCAGGGTGGTGCCAGAAGACATGGAAAGAAATGGACAGTTCCAGGTGCATTTAAGAAGTGAAACCCGACAGGGCTGGTTACAGTAAAATAGCCCTACCCTGGAGAAGAAACACAGAAACAAAATACTTTATTTTTGCTTCTTAACCTATCAGGCGTCCCCTTCCCCTTAACCCAGAGGGACGAGGGGCGGGGCAAGAACCCACAAAAATCCGGGAACTTTTATTCAAGCTGGCGGATGTCCCCGGAGAGTAGACGAAAGAAAGAGACACTTCCGTTTACTCCGGAAGTGAAAGTTTCACATGCTCCTAAGCTCCTCCCCCGGTGGCGAGCCAGGGAGAAGTGATGGCTGGCCAGGTGGCGCGGCTGGTGCTGCTAGCTGGGGCAGCCGCACTAGCGAGCGGCTCCCAGGGCGACCGTGAGCCGGTGTACCGCGACTGCGTACTCCATTGTGAAGAGCGGAACTGCTCGGGGGGCGCTCTGAAGCACTTCCGCTCCCGCCAGCCAATCTACATGAGTCTAGCAGGTAAGCCCCTCCCACAGTAAGCCACGCCCTTTGGTCTTGGCCCCGCCCCTTATTCTCAGAAATCTCTGAACCTTAGTTTCCCCCCCAAGGTCTCTAAAGAATGTGAGTGAATGGAGCCCCCGGGGTGATGAGAGCTTCATCAACCTATCTTACTTTCCCAGAAGTTTCATTTACTTTTTATTTATTTAGTCAAAAGGACATTTACTGAATACTGCCTGGGTGCAAAGCTCTGAAATGACATAGAAATCAGACCAGGGTCCTGCCTTTTGGAGCTCACAGTCCCCACGGAGACATTAGCCTTCTCAAGTGCAGGAATGATTTGATACCTAAAAGACTCTTAGATTAAGCACTAGCAGCATTTGGGATGTTATAGTATCTATTCTGGTTTTGAGGGAGTGAAGACAGGGATCATCTTAGAATGTTTTGTGTGAAGGAGGGCTTTGTACAGTTACATTAAATTTGGACCTGTGACCATATTGAGCAAGGAACCAACATATTGAACACCTCCCAGGTCACAGGTGTCACAACAAGTGTGTTAATTTTTATTCCAACCCTTTGAGGCAGTTTCTCTAATCCTAGTCTTACAGATAGGGAAGCTCAAAGAGGTTAAGTGCCCTGCCCAAAGTCACACAGCCAGTTAGTAGTGGTAAAGCAGATAATGGCCTATTATCACACATTTGTCCTTTTTACTGCCACTTTGTGTTCCAGATAGAACAGAGCAAGTGGATGCCCTGGGCAGATGTGGGCACATCCAGCAGCTTGCTTTACTCAGGGAGCAGAGTATGTGAAAGGAGTAGTGACAAATCAGGTTGGATATTCAATTTGGAGCCTTAAAAGTCAGGCTGAAGAATTTGGGCTTCATTTTCATAGGAGGGGGTAAGATAGCAAGGACTCCACCCTGGCAATTGAGAGTAAATCCTGTTTCAGGAAAGACAAACATAAACCTAGGTTTCCATAGACAGGTTCATCAGATACCAAAATCACCATCTTGGTGAACAGAGAAGAGAAGAAACATTTCTTTTTGTTCACTTCTGCACCTAAAATATCCCTACATGTACATACATCCCTTTCCCTATGTGTATGTCCCACCATCTTACATCCATCCAAATGAGAAGCTGGAATTTTAAGATTTCTTCTAGTTCTCTCCCACCTGCAGTCCCTTTTGACCTGTATTTGAGCTTGGGCCCCATTCCTGATCTCTTTGTGCCTCTCTGTTCTGGGAAGTTCACCAGGCCACCTTTGTCTGTTTCAGGCTGGACCTGTCAGGATGACTGTAAGTATGAGTGCATGTGGGTCACAGTTGGCGTCTACCTCCAAGAAGGTCACAAAGTGCCTCAGTTCCATGGCAAGGTGAGTTGGAGGGTCAGGGTTGGTGGTGTAGTAGCCTCCCAGTTGGACAACATTGTCCAGCAGTCTGAGGCATGGAGTGATGGGTGTGTGTTTGGGGCAGGCACCTAGTCTCAAAATCTGCTGGTTTTTATGTAATTGGATGGAACGGATGTGTCTTGCCTCTGAATTTGGAGTAACAAGATCCAGAAAACTTTGGAGTCTCTTCAGAAAGCGGTGGTGGGATTCTTAGAGTAGTTGAGATGCTCACCATGCTGCAGGCAGAAATTCCCTAACACACTCTGAGATCTTTTCTCTTGCTTCCCCAGTAGTGGTCTAGAGTAATAGTGACACCCTTTTGATTTCCCAGGGAGGCACAGTTTACTGATGCTCTTTGATCCAGTATTATTCCTTTCTTTCTTTCTTTATTTTTTTGAGACAGAGTTTCACTCTGTTACCCCACACTAGAGTCCCATGGCACCAGCCTAGCTTACAACAACCTCAAACTCTTGGGTTCAAGTGAACCTCCTGCTTCAGCCTCCTGAGTAGCTGGGACTACAGATGACTGCTACAACATCCAGCTAATTTTTTCTATTTTTAGTAGAATGGAGTCTCACTTCTGGCTCAGGCTTGTCTCCAACTCCTAAGCTCAAGCGATTCTCACACCTCAGCCTCCTAAAGCTCTAGGATTACAAGTGGGCCATTGCACCTGGCCTGATCTAGCATTATTTCATTCTAGTCTGTTGAGATTGGCAATAATTATTCTCCCCGGTTTTCCACAGAGCAAGCTGAGGCTCAGAGGACTGTTGTCAGTAGTAGAGGCCTGATTGGGACTTTAGTCTTCTGGATGGCAGGTCTGTGCTGTTTCCACCAGGCCACACTGAGCCATCTGCACTGGCCCATCTGGTATTCCCAGGGCTCAGGGCTTTCAGTACTATGCGTGCTGGCCAGGATAGCGGGTATGACCCTTAACCAGGGACTGGAGAGGAGCTCCTTGGCTTGAAGAGGGACTGAACCTGAGGCTTTGGCCAAATTCCAGAGCTGAAGGACCAGTTGGAGATCTACTAATGCAGCATGTCAGAAAAAGTTTGACTAGGCCAACTGGGGGTTGCCTGCCCCTCAAGCCTCCTCCATCTTCTCCTTTTTCAGTGGCCCTTCTCCCGATTCCTGTTCTTTCAAGAGCCAGCTTCTGCTGTCGCCTCTTTTCTCAATGGTCTGGCTAGTCTTGTGATGCTCTGCCGCTACCGTACCTCCGTGCCAGCCTCCTCCCCCATGTACCACACCTGCGTGGCCTTCGCCTGGGTAGGTAACCTGCCAGGATTCCTGCTGTATTCCCTCATCTAGGAAGGAAGAACTCTGAGATTCCTATTAATACCTACCACCTAGCTTCCCCTCTGCTCTCTAGGGCTAAATTTGCAGCTGCAGGGTGGTTACACCTGGGAAGAAAATTGGGAAGGTACTGAATTAGGCCTTACTTTTCTAGCTGAGTCCCAGGCCAGGTGGTTTAGGAAGGAGAGGGGAAGAGACTTTTTTTTTTTTTTTTTTTTTTGATCCTAAAGAGGAAGCTACTAAAAGACCCAGAAGGGCAGTTTACAGACACAGAAGAAATAGGTGGTAGAGAGGATGCTGGGACCACACAGGACCTGTCTGGAAGACTAGGAGCAATCTCAGTTCCAGCCCAGACCTGCTAGACAGTAGTAGCCACAAGACACTATCCAGAGCTCAGCCTGCTCTTAGACCGTCCCTGGAAAAGCTGAGGTCAAATTCCATTAGAGTACCCAGAAAAGGCTACCACCCTCACAGTGTGGTTAGTCTGAGGGTCCAGTATCCAGGGCCTGGAATTGTGTGACAGGCACAGACTAGGGTACATATGTGAACTGTGACAGCCTTGGAGAGGGCATGAAAATCAGAGGCTGGCTCTTTAGGTCGTGTCTCTAGGTCAGAACTATCCCTATAAGCCTTATGGAAAAAAATCTCCACTTACTTATCTTCCTGCCATCACAGCAGCCATTCACTTGTATATTGAACATTTACTGTGCACCAGGAACTTTGCTAGATGCCAGAGATCCAAAAGTATATAAAAACAGACAGGTCTCTGGCTTCTGGTACTAGTCACCCAGTCACACAATGTATCAGTACAACTGTGAAAAGTGCCGTGGAGGAGAGACGCTACCGGGCCATGTAGAGGGGGATTAGACCAGTACAGGGCAGACAGGAAAGGCCTCCTGAGGAGTGGGCATGGGAGGTAGGGTAGAAATGATGTGTGAATATTAATTAGGTAAATTTGAGGAGAGTAGAGGGAGTCATCTAAACCACGGGTGGGAAATCTATAGTCCCAAAGGCACATGTGGCACTCTGGATCCCCAAGTGTGGCCCCTCAACTGAATCCAAACTTCACAGAACAAATCTCTTTATTAAAAAGATTTTTTCTGGCCAGGCACTGTGGATCACACCTGTAACCCCAGCACTCTATCTGGGAGGCTGAGGTGGGTAGATTGCTTGAGCTCAGGAGTTTGAGAACAGTCTGAGCAAGAGCAAGACCCCATCTCTATTAAAAATAGAAAGGGGGCTTAGTACCTGTAGCTCAAATGGCTAAGGCACCAGCCACATACACCGGAGCTGGTGAATTCGAATCCATCCTGGGCCTGCCAAACAACAATGACAACTACAACCAAAAAATAGCCACGTGCTGTGGTGGGTGCCTGTGTCCCAGCTACTTGGGAGGCTGAGGCAAGAGAATCACTTAAAACCCAGGAGTTGGAGGTTGCTGTGAGCTGTGATGCCATGGCACTCTACTCAGGGTGACAGCTTGAGGCTCTGTCTCAAAAATTAAAAAAGTAGGCTTGGTGCCTGTGGCTCAAGTGGCTAGGATACCAGCTACATACACCTGAGCTGGAGAGTTTGAATCCAGCCTGGGTCTGCCAAACAACAATGATGACTGCCACCAAAAAATAGCTGGGTATTGTAACAGGTGCCTATAGTCCCAGCTACTTTGGAGGCAGAGGCAGGAGAATCGCTTGAGCCCAGGAATTGGAGGTTGCTGTGAGCTGTGATGCCACAGCACTCTACCCAGGGCGACAGTTTAAGGCTCTGTCTCAAAAAATAAAATAAAATAAAAATAAAAATAGAAAGGGGGCCAGGTGCAGTGGCTCACTCTTGTAATCCCAGCACTCTGGGCGGCCAAGGCAGGTGGATTATTTGAGCTCAGGAGTTCAAGACCAGCCTGAGCAAGAGTGAGGCCCATCTCTAAAAAATAGCCGGGTATTGTGGCAGGAGCCTGTCGTCCCAGCAACTCGGGAGTATGAAGCAAGAGAATCACTTGAAGGCCAGATGTGGTGGCTCACACCTGTAAACCTAGCATTCTGGGAGGCTGAGGTGGGTGGATTGCCTAAGCTCACAGGTTCGAGACTAGCCTGAGCCACACTGAGTCCTCATTTCTAAAAAAACAGCCAGACTTGTGGCAGGTGCCTGTAGTCTCAGCTACATGGGAGGCTAAGACAAGAGAATCACTTGAGCCCAAGAGTTGGAGGTTGCTGTGAGCTATGACACCATGGTACTCTACCATGGGTGACTGAGTGGAGACTCTATCTCCAAAAAGAAAAAGAAAAAAAAATTAGCCAGTCATTGTCAGTCAGGGTGGGGACCTGTAGTCCCACCTACTCGAAAGGCAGAGGCAAGAGGATCTCTTGAGCCCAAATGTTTGATGTTGCTATGAGCTATGATGATGCCATGGCACTCTACCCAGAGCAGCAGAGACTTTGTCTCAAAAAAGAGAAAATAGGATTTGTTTTGTAAAATTTAGGTTAATTCTAAAGGCTACGCAAAGAACCCAAGACTCAGAAAGTACACAGACAATGCAAAAAGGGCACAGGCAGGAGAGAGTGAGGGTCATTTGAGGACCTAAAAGCCCAGGATGCCTGCCATGCAGGATGCCAGAGAGCTGAGATGGGTAGGCAGGTGGGCAGCCCGTGGAGAGCCTGTCACTGTGGATCTTAACTCTCAAAGCATCAGGAAGCACCACGAGATTTTAAATGAGGACTGGGAAGAGAAGTGGTTTGGCCTTTAGAAAGCTCATTCTGGCTACTGCGTAGAAAACAGATTAGAGGGGGCAGAAAGTGATGCGGTTGACCAGTTGGTAGTTTTAGCACAGGGCCCAGAAGCCAGACCAGAGAGGTGGCACAGGTCTTGGACATTAAAAAGAAGTATGTTTGAACTGCGTTTTGAAGGTAACATGAACGTTTTTAAAATTTATTTTTAATTATTATAACTTTTTTGTTTTTTTGAGACAAAGTCTATGTCACCCTCAGTAGAGTGCCGTGGTGTCACAGCTCACAGCAACCTCAAACTCTTGGGCTTAAGAGATTCTCTTGCCTCAGCCTCCCAAGTAGCTGGGACTACAAGTACCCGCCACAATGCCTGGCTGGTTTTTTTTGGTGTAGTTGTCGTTGTTTGGCAGACCTGGGCCAGGTTTGAACCTGCCATCCCCAGTATATGTGGCTGACGCCCTAGCTGCTGAGCTACAGGCACCAAGCCTAATTATTATCTTTTTTTTTCTTATTTATTTTTGAGACAGAGCCTCACTCAGTCACCTTGGGTAGAGTGCCATGGCATCATCATAGCTCACAGCAACTTCAAACTCCTAGGTTCAAGAGATCCTCAGGCCTCAGCCTCCCAAGTAGCTGGGACTATAGGCGCCTGCTATCACACCCAGCTAATTTTTCTATTTTTTTTTTTTTCATAGAGACAGGATCTCGCTCTTGCTCAGGCAGGTCTCCAACTCCAGAGCTCAAACAATCCACTCACCTTGGCCTCCCAGACTGCTGGGATTATAGGTGTGAGCCACTGAACCCAGCCAACCCTGTTTATCTTTAACAAGTGTCCAAAGACAAAATTACAACAAATTTAGTTATGGATCCATTTGGCTTTTATTTGCAATTCATTAATCCAGGTAGCCTTTATTCTATAAAATAGAATAAGAACTCCCACTGGGTGATAGCAGCCTGGGAGGGGTTGTAAGGTAGGAACAAGGAAACGGAACAATGGTGGGATATGGAAAACTGATTGGCTACCATCAGGCTACTTCTTTGTAAGAGTTGAAGCAGAGGGGACTTTCTGATTACAGTGCCTCAGTTAGACTAAAATCTTCTGTTTTCAAGAAAAAGTGGCTGGTTTAGGAATCTATCTGCCTCCTGATAGTTTAGTTTGATGTTTTGGCAGTTAGCATGAGTAATTCCATTTTGGTTTGGTCTGGTCTGTTGGGGTTTAGTGCAGGGCCTCTGTCCCAAACTGTAGGCCCCCATAATTTTTATTTAACACAGCTTATGAGGTAGGTATTATTATCATCCCCAGTTTACAGAGGAGGAACCCACTGACTGACAGGTTAAGTGACCTCCACTAGGTCATAGAGCCAGGGTTTGATTCCAGGTGTCTGGCTCCAGAGTCCCCACTTTCACCTTCTTGGCTATGCTGACAAGCCTAAGCAGAGGATTAGATGTGGAGAGAGAAATCAAGCATGATCCCTGTGTTTCTGCTTATAAGACAGTGATAGAAGTGTAGATGAGATCACCATGGGAGATAGAGAACTTAGTGAGAAGAAGAGGGGTCTAGAATGGTACCCTGAGAAACCCCAAAATTTAATGTCTGGGTAGAGGAGAGTAAACCAGCAATGGAGACAGAAGAAATGACCAGAGGGGTAGGTGGAAAACTATGAGACTGCATGCTTGGTGGAGCCCCAGCACAAGTATAGGAAGGAGCCAGTAGTCTGCTTTCCTGAATTGTACTAGACAGTGAATTTAAATGAGAACTGAAGCATGCTGCTGGATCTGGTGACCCAGAGGTCTCTAAGAACATTAAGAAAACTGATAGCAGGGGGTGTGCTGGAAAGTCCAGGTTGAGCCTTAGACTTGGGACAAGGAAGGAGGCTATTAAACCTCCAGGAAGTATCAATCCTCCCTAATACTTCCCATTCAACAATTGTTAGTGATAATTATGAATTATGGAACAAGCCATGTGACAGGCTTGTCTTAAGCACTTTACATACACTTTCTTGTTTAATCCTCTTTATACCCCTCATTATACCTCTGAGCTCTCTGTAAGGCTCAGAGGAGCTAAAACTTGCCCAGTGTTAACAGCTAGTGAGTTAGCCGGTAGTGGAGACAGAGTTGGCATCCGAGGCTGTCCGACTCCAGGACCTGAGCTCCTGTCCCCTCTTCTAGGTTGCCTCCTCCAAGTCCTGTGATGAATTTTCATGGAGCACTTGCTGTGGGTAGAGACAGGTTTAGTATTTATAGTTCAAGCCCCTGCCTCAGGGAGCTAAGGGCAGTAGGAGGCACAGGTCCAGCAGGCCTGGGTGGCAGAACGCAGGAGAACCTGAAGTGGGCTTGGCAGGGAGGCCTGGGAGTTATGAGGCTGGGGGACCACGGCCTCCATCTGGGGACATCAGCCAGGGAACCCCAGGGAGGAGGAGGGGTTTCAAGCCTGGCACAGCTCAGACACATAAATAGGGGGTAGAAGAGACTGGATTTCACCATTCCAGGCTCAAGGCACACATGTGGGACTGGCCTCATGTGGGACTTAGGCAACCTTGGGAGAGTCCACCTGCCCCACTATGGCTGTGGAAGTGCAGTGTAGGGAGAAGAGATAGAACAGAGGGCCTTGAGGGCCAAGGGCTCTGCTGAAGGCAGGGCCCGGCATCAGCACACACAGGGACGTGGAGGAGATAAGAGCTGCCACTTGCTGTGTAGGTGTCTTACGGAGAAGGAAATTTGGTCCTGGCCAAGAAAGCAGGAAGGAAAGGGAAATGGAGGAGGTTGTGCCTGTCCCCTTTCCCTTGGGCTTCTTTCAGGGAGGCTATTTGTCTGGGCCCACTGCCTGTACCAGCCCCTGGCCCCCACCCCTATTAGTATGAGACAACCCTGCCTGAAATCTTTGAACAAATCTCAGAGCCTCCTTGGATAGACTGCAGGTTGGAGGGCACCTCAGAGGGTCCAGCCTTTGCCTTCATGACATGTGCCAGAGGCCAGTGGTCACTTCACAACTCTAGTCTTGATTTCTCTGATCCTTGGAGATTTCATCTCAATGGTGTCTGGAACTCAGCTTCCTTCTTGGCAAGGGGTCACACCTCCCAGGGTGTTCTGCAGTCCAGTGTGACCAAAGACCCTTAGAGAAAAAGCAGGAGAGTTGGGGTGGGAGAGGGCAGATAGCTAGAGCTTGTGTCTTAGGGCACCGTAAGGGATATGGGGTTCTGGGACATGGGAACTCATCATGCCACCTCTAAGCCCTCAAGGGACAGAGCCTCAGAGTCTACACTCCTGTCGATGATCTAGTTTGGATTTTGCAGTTGATCTTTAATCCTGTGTGTGTGATTCTGCAGGAGGGAGGGATCTTGAGCTGTGCGGAGGGTGTGGCTGTGAACTCTGTCCCAGGCTGGGTCTTCGGGAGCGGTGGGGCTCCTGATTTCTGTTGGAGTAGGGTAGGAAGGCCCCTCACCTGTCCAGCTTAGGTCTTGGAGGAAGAGCATCCAGTCTTTTCTCTGCAGGAGACCTGCAGGGTGAAGGAAGCTTTGGCCTGTGCCTTGCCATTTAGGTCTGGGCTCTGGTTGGCAGCAGCCAGGCAAGGCTCAGCAGCCTGCCAAAGCTCTGCACACTGTGGCCCTTTGACCTCACAGTGCACGGGGCCCCTGTTCTCTGCCAAAGCTAGGAGCCAAACCAATTCCCCACCCCTTCAGCTAGCAAGCAACGGTCCTCAAGTGTAGAGATAAAAGAGTGAGGAGGCAGGGAAGCCCAAACTGTCTTTGCAGGATGATTTATTTATAGACAAGAGGACTGATTGTGTACTACCTCTATTGAGGAAACTACAAGAAGAAGGAGGTTGAGGCTGTAGCAAAACTATGGTTAGACTTCAGAAAGGACTTCCCAACAGACAAGAGCCAATGCAACAAGCAACAGCAGGAAATCAAGGAATCCTTTCTGGTGGGGAAATAGCCATCTTTCTTTCATTTCCATCTACCACTTTCCTCCTCTCAGGAGTGAGCAGGGACAGGCTCACCCTGCCTGAGGCACGGGGTGAGACACTGTGGCCTGGGGGGGGAGAGGCAGGAAGGCAGCAGGCATCATATTTAACATTCTGCCTCCCCCACTTCTGAAACACGGAGCTATTTAAAGACCCACTTGTCCCTACCACCATGGTGTCAATGACAGCCCGAGCACTGGGGCTTAACGCTGGGGTCGAATTCCTGACAGATCTGGCTCACGTGGCATCTAACCAGTTTCATGGTTATGATATTTTTGTCTCTATTTTCTTATTTTCCAATAGAATGAAAAAGCCTCTTGCTCCCCCTCTACCCAGCCTCCACGGCCTCCCCCTCTGGCTCTCTGGCAGCCCTTTCCTCAGTGTTTACAGGCAGCTCTCTGTGCCTGCCAGGCGTTCCATCACCCCCTGGCTGGTGAGCCTATCTGCCCCCTATTCCACTCAAGCTTAGTTGAGGAGCCCGAGAGCGGTCATACATTTGCATCTTGGACTTCCCCTTCCTTCCACGTCCATCTGTCCCCTTTGCCTGCATCTTGATGACAAACTGAGTGGAGAGAAGTGCTATCTGTTTAGTCCATACTGGGGGGATAGTAACTCTTCCCATAGCTGCAGTGTCTACATTCTGGGATGGAAAAATCCTGGGTCCCTGTCATTTGACCGTGAATTCTGTGATCCTTAAAGAAAGGGAAGTTGAGGGTCAGGTGAAAGAAAGTGGTGAGGGTCAGCCTGTGGTTCATAATGTACCAGGCAGCAGTAACAACAACCATTTATTGAGTGAGTCCTTTGTGCCAAGGATTTTGCTGACATTGTCCTCATGACCCTTATGTTTTGTAGATGAGGTAGCTGGCTCCCAGATGATAAGCTGTTTGTTCAAGGCCAAACTCTTAAGTAGTGGCCAAGGCCGGTCTTGAGCACAGAGTCTGTCTCCTTGGGAGACTCTGGACATTCTGCCCCCAGCCTGGAGCTATGGGGGTGGGCCTAGGCCACTGGGGAGACCACTCCTTCTCTGCCTAGATGTCCTTGGCTTATAGGGAGACTGAGAGACAGACTTGGTCTCTTAAGCCTCAGGTGAGGGAATGCTGGGAAGGCTCCATGGTGGTCAAAAAGGTAGAGAAATAATGCCTAGTGTGTTACCTGTCCTGGGCACAGTGCTGGACGCTGTGTTTGCATTGCTTATTCAATCCTTATCAACACTATGATTATTCCCATTTTACAGATGAGAAAACTGAGATACAGCAAGGCTAAATAACTTGCCCAAGGACACACAGGAAATGCAGAGCCAGGATTTGCATCCTAGCAGTCTGGCTCTAGGGCTGGCATTCTTAATGACACTACCTCCCAAATCTGAGGAGAGGGTGAGAAGAGGAGCACCCCCAAAATGGGACACTCCCCAGGGGAAGGGGACTTTTCAGGGTTGCAGAGTCCAGGCTTCAGGTGGGTCTCTGTATGTGGAAGGCACCTAGGGAGGCGGTTGGACCGGGGACCAAATCGCCCTCACATGTACCATGGCCCTCTGTGTGTACACAAGTACACACAACGCGCACACACACACACACACACCCTACTCTGGGTGTTCCAGTCACCACTTAGCTCAGTCCTCTTGTCACCTCCCTCTTTTTGCTGTGGGTGACAAGAAGGCCTGGCTTGCTGCCAGTCCCTGCTGCCTTTCCTTCTTCCCTCCCACGCTGGTTCCAGGACCAATCTCCTCCTAAGGATGCCCCTGTCCCTGGCCTCCCCAAGAGACCTGGTCCACACGATTGCCTGGGCCTTGTCTCCAGCCCAAGCCTGCTCTTCTCCCCAAGCTGAACCCTAGCTTTGCAGATTTGGTAGGAGCGATGTCCAAAAAGCTGTCAGATTCCGTCACATTTTCCAGCCTTCAGACCAGTCCTTTGTGACTGTTTTTGCAAAAGGGATCTTGAGCCAAGGGGGAGGGATAGAATGACCATCCTCAGAGGAGCAAGCAACCTGACCTAGACCAAATCACCTGATGCCAGGGCTGGGAAGGAACTGAAATTTCACTGAGATGCCTAGTGTGTGAGAGCACTGATTTGTCCCAGGGGTAGCTTGGGCTGAGAAGGGAAGGGCCTTTGCCCAGGTCAAGAGGCTCATAAGCAGCAAGGCCCAGCCCAGCGCCCAGGCTAGGCAGGCTGCACCTGGCTGCCTTGAGCCCTTCCAAGCTGTTATCATGAGTGCCTGATGGGCTTTGTGACAGAGCCCTGCCTGCCTCCACTCTTCTCTTCCCATTCCCTCCTGAGCTTCCCAGGCCTGTGTTAGGGAAGCCATCCTAGCACCTGACCCTCCTGCTGCAGTACCTGACAAATATTTCTTGCCCTGCTCCCTCTGTCCCCTGCCTGGCCTGCCTCCCCACAGGCTGGACCTAAGTGAGCAGCTCCTGCCTGTCCTTTACTCCTCTCTGCAGGCCTGCCCCACTCTAGCACCCTTCCCCACCTGCAGGCTGTTCTAGGCCTGGCCCCGCTGTTCCTTTCTTTAACTGGTTGTCACAAGTTTTTCCAGTCCTTCCTCCTGCCCATTTCAGTAATTTGGGCCTCTGCTGTGGACACAGAAGTCCCTGAAAAAAGTGCCAGCCCTTGCCCACCACAGCCCCTCCAGCCCTGCCCCTATACTCCTCCCAGGGTTTGGGAGCAGCCACTGGTCTGGCGGGTTGGGCCGGCTGGGCCAGGAGGAAGCTGGGCTCCAAGTTGGCCACCATCCTGCTCAGAGACTGGGCCCCAGTAGGACCTGCCTCATCTCCCTCCCTCCCTCCCTTGCTTAGGTCACACCCCACCCACCTCATTCCCACCCCCAGAGGCTGAGGTCACTGGCTCCCCTGGGCCCAGGTGGGGCTGTCATCACCTGCTGGTTGAGGGGGGAGGAGGCAAGGCCCCTGGGGGCTGTTGTCTTAGGGATTGAGTAACCAGGGAACTTGGCTCTGTTAGAACTGGCTCCCAGGCCAAGCCAGAACCTGCAAACCTATAGAACCTGCAGCCCCCTGTGGTCTTGGGGGCTTGGGCTTGGGGAAGTCAACTGAGAAAACAGGGCTAGGTAGGGATGGAGGGGACATTGGATTGTTCAGAGGCCCCCAGGGGCCAAGGGAAAGCACATTTCTTACCCAGAGAGCCCCCTCTAGTAGGCAAGGTAGATATGAGCCCTCTGGGGGGGTCTTTCCTAACTCAGGGCAGCACACTCACTGCTCCCTCCCTCCTCAGGTGTCCCTCAATGCTTGGTTTTGGTCCACAGTCTTCCACACCAGGGACACAGACCTCACAGAGGTGAGCACCCTCCAGCTCCGCCTCCAGCATGGGGCTGTCCTAGAGGAGCCCAGAAGGGTGGGCAGAGAGAGGCCTGGGGTGTACCTGACTTGTCTGAGAAGCAGATATTCCAAGCCAGGCCATTCAGACCTATTGGTGTGCTTGAGCCTCACTTGAACCTTGTGAGGTGGGTGGAATCCTGAGCTCTTTCTGACTGAGGAGGCAGCTGAGCCTTAGAGAGGGGAAACGACTTATTCAGGGTCACCTAGCTAGTCAAGGGGTGCGATCAGAACTGAAGTCCATGGCTGGTGAGCCCCAGACTGGGCTCTGAATTCTGTAGTGTGCTCTCATGTTCTGGAGTCCCGACAGACACACTGCCAGCACCTCTAAAGCCTCTCTGCTGAGCACATTTTTAAAAAAACTGCATTGACAGGCCCGGGACCCCCATCCCTTCCCTACTGCCCTTCCATGCCCCCATCCCCAATGGATCCTCTCTGGGCTCTGCTCTCCGTGGAGCCTTGTCCATCTGCTCCCCTCACACTGGCCCCTCATGACTCTCCCTGTCCTCAGAAAATGGACTACTTCTGTGCCTCCACTGTCATCCTACACTCAATCTATCTCTGCTGTGTCAGGTGAGCCTGCCTTGGTGGCTGCAGGGGCAAAATCAGGTCCCAGGGGCAGAACGGTGTCACCCAGCCCTTCCCTGGGGGTGCTGCCCGGGCCCTTCTTTGCTGGTCTCCCAACATCCTCCAGGCTGTCCTGGATGGGGACTTTGAGGCAGGACTAGGGGTCCTGGCTCCCTACAAGGAGCTGAAGCCCTTGGTCCCAGGCCGCTAGGGGCTAGGAGACCCGTCCAGTCAGCCTATTTTGGTGGGTTAGTGGTTTCAGGGACCATTTACTGATATTGGGGGGAGGAGATGCTTCAAGGAATGCTGCTCTGGGCACGGGCCACCCACCATCTGAGTAGCTCTGGATGGTGGGGCAGGACCGTGGGGCTGCAGCACCCAACCTTGGCCAGTGCCTTCCGGGTTTTCCTGCTGCTGCTGCTGACCACTCACATCTCCTACCTGAGCTTCATCCACTTCGACTATGGCTACAACCTGGCGGCCAACGTGGCTATTGGTGAGGCAGGGCTGAGGACTCAGGGGCCTCAGGCTATCTGCAGAACTGCTGGCTTGAGTCGGGGTGGGGGTGTCAGAGCAATTCCTGGAAAAGGAGGTTCTAGAGAGACCCTTGGAGTGAAGAAAGGGGGAAGAATTTGAGGTGAGAGAGCAGAGGCTGGGAGGAGAGCCTGAGGATGATCCTGGGGTCCAAGAGCATGGGGCTGGGGTGGCTTTGGGAAGGAGGAAGGAGTCTAATGAGTGAGCCTCTCCTACCCCACCGGCACCTAGGCCTGGTGAACGTGATGTGGTGGCTGGCTTGGTGCCTGTGGAACCAGCGACGGCTGCCTCACGTGCGTAAGTGCATGGTAGTGGTCTTGCTGCTGCAGGGACTGTCCCTGCTTGAACTATTCGATTTCCCGCCTCTCTTCTGGATCCTGGATGCCCACGCCATCTGGCACATCAGCACCATCCCTGTCCACGTCCTCTTTTTCAGGTTGGTGCTACTCCCTGCCTGGTACCTACCTTCTTTGTGCCCTTCCTTGCCTGCTCCTTAGGGGAGACTGGGAGCCTCCATGTGCCCATCTGCCCCCTCCCAGCTTGCCTGAATTCATCCCACCCCACCCCCAAGGGAGCTCTCTGAGCTGCATGCCTCAGTGGGCTCCTCCCTCGGCTCACAGCTTTCTGAAAGATGACAGCTTGTACCTGCTGAAGGAATCAGAGGCCAAGTTCAAGCTGGACTGAAGACCCTGGGAGCAGGATTCTGCCGCCTCCCTGCTGGCTCCCATTCTCCCCTCAATCCGCAAGATGATTTCTTTTCTCCTTTTACCTTCTTGAACTTGGACATGAGGGATGTGGGCCCGGAATCATGTCACTAGCCCACCCCCTTGCTAGTCCTCACAGATCTTGGAGCCTGTTCTGGGGGTGGTTTCCCAGTATCTGGGGCTAAAGAATGGGCAGCCCCCCTGGGTTCTGAGCTGAAGTGGATGGAACTGAGTGTGTCCTTAGCTGAGAAGAGCTCAGAGAAGAGCTGCCTGTTTCCTCCCCAGCAGGCTCCTGCCCAGATCCCCTGCTGCCTAGCTGGGTCTCAGTGCTGGGAGCCCAGGTACTTCCCGCCTTTGGGGACACAGTGAGATCCCCTTCTGTAACCCTTGCCCTCCTCCAGGGCACCACTAGATGGCACTGGATGCTTACTCTCTGGTTAGCCAAATTTCAAGGCCAATCTCATTCTTCCCATGGGATTGTGAGGGACCAAGCTGCTGGGAGTGGGGAGGGGTTTCTCCCTGACAGTTGTCTCAGCCAAACTCCCAGGAGGCCTCATCACATTCCTCTTCAGGGCCTGGACCCCTGTGTGCCCAGGACAAGAGTCCTGTGCTGCTGTCCTGGTTGGGAGCCTGCACATGAGTGTGTCCAGGATGTTGGCCAGACCAAGTGCATAGCTGAGTTGGGCACGAGCATGGGCTTGGGTGTGTGAGTGCCTGGACCAGGGCATGCAGTGTGGGGGCAGGGGGACAAAGTGTGTGTGTTCAGGCTCAGGTGTGTTAGCACAGGTTAGGGGAATATGCATGTGAGTGTGCTTGTATCTGAGATGCATGGGATACACACATGCCAGTAAGAGGAGACTGGAGCAGGGTGGGGGAATCATGTCACCAGCAACAATTGATTATTGACAGGCAACGCTGCCTGAGGCTCCACTCAGGCAGCCAGCCAGGATATCCCCATGGCTGCCTGGGTGTGGATGTGTTCCTGCCCCATGCCCCTTTGTCATCGCCCTCCAAACTTCACAGGGCCCCCACAAAGCTTAAGACAGCAGTTCTCAACCTGTGGGATATGACCCATGGGAACTATATTAAAAGGCTGCGGCCTTAGGAGGTTGAGAACCATGGCTTAAGAGCACCCTTCAGAACCAGGGACAGAGGTAAATGGGGATCCTAGGGCCTCTTTTCAGCCTCTTTGCCTTGGCATATTTGGACTCCCCCTGCACCTCCTTTCCCTGCTGCCAGCCCCTTGCCACAGCCTGGACCTTGGGAAGAAAGGGGAGAAAGCTTATGACTGGGTCTGGTTTCTGCTCTTGCCAGAGAGGCTCACTGTTCTAGGGGAGCCCCAGGGCAGGCAGGAGCCACACTGTGCTTGCATCCCAGTAAAGGTAACCCCCTACCAGTTGCCAGCAGCTCTGGCACAGTCCAGCCATATAAGAGTAGAATGTGGAGCTCCTGAATGTTCCATCCCCAAAGCAGTCTCTATAATTAGAGTAGGGAGACTGGATTTTGCTTTGTTCTTTCCCCTTGTCCCTCGTTGACTCTGCTAAGACTCCAGCCTCAGGTACTTGGGTGGCCTATGTTAGAATCTTTTGATACTGAAAACTATTTTAAAGTAGGAGGGTAGCAAGGGACATGCTTAATAAACCAATTCTCAATCTCACCTACCTTTGTTCAGCTCATTTGGATGAGTAGTAGGGGAGCTGGAGGGAAGAAGAGGACAGAGTTTGGGGAAGGAAAGGACAGGAGGAGGACCCAGAGCTGGTTGGAGGCAATAGACAAAGGGGGAGTCTCCACCCGGGCACCTGGGAGTGGGGTGGGGATCAGGTGCAGGGCTGAGCAGAGCTCAAATACAACTTGGAGGAAGGAGCTGCTGCTGCTTCCATCTCACTCCCTGGCCTTTGTGCCTAGATTGTTAACAACAGCCCTTACATCCCCACCACCTGGAAATTCCACTTCTTCTTCTTCTTTTTTTTTTTTTTTTTTTTTT